CCCTGAAGGAAAACCTCAGGATTATTACAATAAAACCGGAAGAGGTTTAGGTTATGTCACAACTCCCTCTGCCTCAGAAAATGAGATCAGTAATTATCTGCGTCAAGATCATTCGTCCGGAACCTCTTCCTGGGAATCCGACGTCAGTGTCGGACCTTTCTTTAAAGGTTTGACTGTGAACATGGTTTCAACTAGTCACCCTGATGAAGATGCAGGGGGTGACGAAGAGTTAATTGAGTCGACTAACGATCCTTGGATCAAACGTCTTAACATCCTGTGGGATATGCGTTTCGAACAACGCGAACCACCCACTGAAGATAAGGTGATCCAGGTCAACATGGGAAATGAGTCTGACCCCAAGCCTATCTTTATAGCTGAAGACCTATCATCATCCGAGAAGGAAGACCTTATATCTCTCATCCGAGAATATATAGATGTCTTCGCTTGGAATTATGAAGATATGCCTGGTCTTGACCCGAAGGTGGCCATGCACCGTCTCAACATCGATCCGGATGTAAAACCCGTTAAACAACAACAACGCAGGTTTCGTCCAGAGATCATGGAATCAATTGAGTCAGAAGTTAAAAAGCTTATAGACTCAGGTTTTGTTAGGGAAGAACAACACCCTGACTGGGTGGCCAACATCGTCCCAGTTCCTAAGAAGAACGGTAAAGTCCGGATATGTATCGATTTCCGCGATCTCAATGCCGCCTGTCCGAAAGACGAATTCCCACTCCCCATCACGGATGTTATGATTGACAACACTTGCGGGTATGAAAGGATGTCTTTCATGGATGGATTCTCTGGGTACAATCAGATAAAGATGCACCCGGACGACGAAAAACACACTGCTTTTAGAACACCACTGGGGGTGTATTGCTATACAGTGATGCCCTTCGGATTGAAAAATGCAGGTGCGACTTATCAACGTGCAATGAACACGATCTTTCACGAACACTTACGAAAAAAGATTGAGTGCTACGTTGATGACATAGCGGTAAAGAGCTACGTTGATGACATAGCAGTAAAGAGTCAATGTAAAGACGATCATCTTGCAGATCTGAAGACAATGTTCGAAATCATGCGAGCACATCAGCTGAAGATGAATCCAACAAAATCATTCCTCGGAGTTTCAAGTGGAAAATTCCTGGGATTTATCGTTACCTCCAAGGGAATCTCTCTTGACCCAGAAAAAGTGCGTGCCATCCAAGACATGCCACCTCCGAAGAATCTCAAAGAGCTCAGAGGTTTGCAAGGCAGATTGGCCTACATTCGAAGATTTATATCAAATCTGTCAGGGCGCTGCCAACCTTTCTCTAAGCTTATGAAGAAAGGAATATCCTTTGTTTGGGATGCGGAATGTCAAAGAGCATTCGAGGAGATTAAGGAGTATCTTACTCAACCGCCGGTTCTTGTAGCCCCAATATCAGGAAAGCCATTCCTGTTGTACGTAAGGGCCATGGAACATTCTCTCGGAGCTTTGTTGGCCCAAAATAATGATCAGGGTCAAGAGCAAGCCATCTATTACCTAAGCAGGACTATGATGGGAGCCGAGCACCGATACAATCCAGTTGAAAAAGAATGTCTTGCTTTGGTATTCGCGGTTCAAAAGATGCGACACTACCTAGTTGGGCAAACAATTCATGTCATTTCTAAAGTGAATCCCTTAAGAGTTCTGATGACAAAACCATCGTCCCTAAATTGCCGGCTTGCAAAATGGGCTATCCTCTTGTCACAATATGATATGCAATTC